CTTGTACTGAAGTTCATAGCAGCAGCATTTTTGATAGCCAAAACAGGAGTAACCCAAATGTCTGTATGTATATATGTGTATATATGTCATGTTGTTTATATATATAAATAATATATATATATATGAAAATCCACAAAAAGGAATGAAATGCTGATACATGTTGCACCATTTTGAAAAATTATGCTAAGTGCAAAAAAAAAGTCAAAAAGATCACGTACTGTGTAATTCCATTTATACAAATGACTCACTGTAGACAAATCCATAAAGTTAGAAAAGTTAGTTGTTGCCAAAGCAGGTTGCTGGGTGGAGAGCATTGAGAAAGCTTCCTAAAAAAAATGTGGGCTTTCTTCTTGGAGTGATACAAAAGGTTCTAAAATTACAGCAATGGTTATATAGTTCTGAGAAAACATTAAATACTATAAATTACTCAGTTATATACTTTAAAAGGAAAATGTTATGATGTATGTTATATTTTGATAATACTAGTTTTAAAAGTTCAAATCAAGGTGAATTTGTTAAATTGAAAGAATACGACAACAGCTATATTTACATTCCTGACATAGTCTCACACAGCATGTTTTATTACTGTGTTCAGAATGGTCTTTACCTAGGTATAGCTTTAGTGTTTGGTTTTCATTCACCACATCTGAGCATTTCTCTCCTTTTTTATTTATCTCATTAACTTTCTCAGGCCTCTTTTTTTTCCTTTTTTTTTTTTTTTTCCTAAACAGTGTTTCTCTATGTAGCCTTGGTTATCCTGGAACTTGCTCTGTAGACCAGGCTAGCATCAAACTCACAGAGATCCTCCTGCCTTTGTTTCCCGAGTGTGCCACAACTCCCAGCCTTACATGCTTCATTTTGATGCTTCCTGATTTAGTATGTATAGGTTGCCTCTGACTTTTCTTAGTTATAAATGATCTATACATGAACTTGTGTAGTGATCTTTTTTTTTCCTGTTAGGTTTATTTGCTTAAGATGAATTTCCACACAGAGTTACTAAATCAAAGTGTATTTAAGACTCTCAATGCTAGATTCTTTTCAAATATAAATATATGTTGTGCTGGCCTCAAATTTACAGTCTTCCTACCTCTAATTCCCAAGTGCTGGGATTACAAAACATGCACAATTATGCTCAGCTTATAATTTTTAAAGTAACTTTAAAATTTGCAGAAAAGTTACAGAACTAGTGTGAGGATGTCCTCTGGGCCCCACACCTTGTTCTCACAACTATTAGCATCTTAAGTTGCAGTGGCAGAAGCTGCATATCTAAGAAACAAACACAGGTACATGATTTGCTAATAAGTAAACTTCTGACTTCATTTAGATTTTTACCAAGTTTTCTAGTAATATCCCTGAACCTGATCCAGGATTTAATGTTATAATTTTATTTTTACTGCATTATTTAGTGTGTGTGTGTGTGTGTGTGTGTGTGTGTGTGTGTGTGTATGTGTATGTTATGGTCCAAGGCTCCAAATCAACCCAAGCAGACACAAGAGGTTGCAGAAAAGCAAGATTTAATACAGGGCAGCACAAACGAAGTGGTGATGGGTTGGGGATTGGGGGTAGGGAGGTTGGTGCTGATCGATCAGGGCCAACAGACTCAGGAACTGAATTGTGACCCTGAATGTCAGTTGAAGCAAGTTTAAGCACAAAAATCATAAACATTTGTTGCCAAGTTACAATTACAAATTTTCACCAATCAGAATTCAAAGATTAGGGGCCTTCCTTAAATGTTCTATCATTTTCAATTAACATGCAACACAAACTTTTCAGTCCAGCCAATCAGATTCATTTATTCTTTCTATTATTTGGAATAGCCATAATGTTTGTAGAGAACTAAAGATGCATGGCGACTCTTTCTGTGGTCTCAGGAGGAGGTAGGTCTGCTGTTGGGAGGTTCCCAGCTCTCCATAAAGCTTCGGAACCTGAACTTTGTTTCACCCTACAGGTAAAATGGTGTCTGAAGTGAAAAATGGCTGTACTTAGGCCAAGGTGCTTTTTGCCTGTTTTTGCATGTGTTTATGTGTATAGGCATGCATATGCCATAGTACACATGTGGAATCAGAGGACAGCTTGTGGGAATTGGTTCTCTTCTTCCACACAGTCTTAGGGATTGAGCACAGGCCATCAGATTTGGTTGCAGGCTCTTTTTCTCAATATGATTTTTAAAAATTTTAATGTAACACTTATAAAAATGGTATTACATTGTTTTTAGTCTGATTTTAAAGAAACCATGCTTTAAGAGAGTATTTCTAATTACTTTGTTTACTAGAAGAAAATTAAGAATTAGGTAACCTCTCCAACCTCTCTCTTTCTCTCTCTCACACATTCTTCTTGCTCCTTACAAAGTCAAAACACACTTTTGTGATTATACTACCGTAAGTGAATAAAATGAATGCAATCTTAAGGAAGCATCAGTCAAATATATTGAGAGACAACATGTACAGGCAGATAACCTATATTCTTTAAAAATGTCAAGGTCAAGAATGAGAGAGAAAGGCTAGCCATTTGCAGCAGATTAATGGAGACTCAAGAAATACAAACCTAAACTGAATCTTAAACCTAGAACAAAGGTAACTAGCTATAAAGGACATTATTTGAACAATTGACAAAAACAATGAATTACAAAATCGAGAACAAAATTATATCCTCATTAAATGTCCTGATTATAATAATGAAGCCCACCCACTGGGACAGAGTGCCCCGAGCCTAGTGAGCCCACAGAACTAGTAAACACATAAAGGAAGTGTACACAGGTGCATGTATATAACAGGGAAGAAAGACAAAGAAATGGGGCGAATGCAAACAGTCGGCCAACCTCGCTAAAGAGTGTTAAGGTACTTTTTTTCTGTGGTTCTTGCAACTTTTCTGTAAGTTTGAATTGTATCAAATTCCAAATTCTCAGACATCGGTGCATATATACACTCACACACATCACATTTTAAATGTGGACTTCCCTTTGTGGAAAGTTAAGATCACTAACTAAACTGTCTGTCTTATAAGTGTGTTCAGATTTTCTACTTCTTGAGTCAGTTATTGTAGCATCTTTCTAAGAATTTATCCAAGTCACTAGAGTACTTTTGTTTATTAGTATAAACTGACCCCTGAATTCCTCTTCTTGCTTTTTAACAAAATATTAGTAACACGTTACCCATCCACTTACATTTCTGATTTTAATTGCTCTTTTTTTCTTGATGAGTCTATTTAAAAGGTTTTTGTTTTTGTTTTAATTTGTTGACCTTTTCAAAGAATCATCTTTTGGCTTGTTGCTTCCTCTTTTTTGTCTCTGTTCTCTAAATGTTTGCTGTAATCTTTATTATTATTATTTTTTACCTCTGTCAGCTTTGGATTTAATTTTCCTTTTGAAGCAAATGAATATAGATCTTTTTAGTACTTTACTTTGTTGAGCTCTATTATGTAACTTCATGTTTTTGGTCTCATTCAGGAAGTTTTTCTTTTATTTCTTCAGAACTCTTATTGTTGGGAAGCATTGTGTGGAGCTGTGCTGCTTGGCCACCTTTAGCATGGTGGGTTTTTCTGGCACACCTAAGCCAAGTCTTTTGCTGAATCTGCAAGAAGACTCAGTTTCAGAGGGAGATGGCACAGGCTTGCCAACATGCAACAAAGAAGAAAAATCTAGAAAACTTATTTCTGCAGAGGTGGCTTAGTCAGAATACTTTGCTATGCAAGCATAAGGACATGAGTTCAGATCCCTAGCATCTAATGTGAAAAAAAGCCATCACAGTGATACACATGTGTAATCCCAACACTAGTGAAGCAGAGACAATGGAAGTCTCTGGGATTTGCTGGCCAGACAGTCCCACATTCAGACATATCTTGTCTCAAAAAGAAAAGAAAAAAGAAAAAAACCAAGAAAGGCATATGACTTTGATCTCTGGCATATGTATGTACGTATGTATGTAGAAGCATGTACATATATACACATTATCCCCTCCCCATTTCTAGAGCAATCTTTGGGGCCACATACTTCCAGCCTTTTTTAAAAGCCAGATTCGTGCATAGTCCTCTCAGTTTGGCATTATTGCAAGATTCAGACTGTCCAGAAGTAAAAGGATTTGGAAGTAGCTGTAGCTACTATGCCTTTGTGGAGTTTGAGAATGAGGATGTTGCCAAGATGGTTGTGGAAATAATGAGCACTATCAATTTGGTGAAAGACTTCATCTGTGTTGTTTTATACCAACAGAAAAAGTACATGTAGAGCTTTTTGAAGAGTAGAATGTTCCATTTCCTTAGCCATCATGTCCAGCAGTGCAACAGGATAATCAGAATTGGAAATGTGGGCAAAAAGATAGAAGAGTGATTTAAAAGGAAACAAAAGTTACTCCGGAAGAGATTAGCTGAGGAAAGAATTCATTGTAGTTTTCCCCCATCCGCTTTACCTTATATGAAAAAGGAGGTTTCAGGCTTATAGAAGAAAAAAGAGAAAAGGGCTTCATGGGGCATGCCTAACACTCTGGAGAAGCCTGGGGCTAGCCAGGCCCCCACTCCAGTCTGTATATGATTTTTGGAAAGGCAGAAAATCAGGAGTGGTTGAAATGAGTGATGATAAAGATAAATGGGATTGTTTTTAAACAGCCTATGCTCATTGTTAAAGAAAACGTCCAAGAGGCTCTAACACCTATCCACTCAGGAAAACAAAGACATGAGAAAATATAGTCAGTGATTCTGGGTGCATGTGTATAGCATGTATTCTGAAAAAAACAAAAACAAAACAAGAAAGCCCATGATGACCCCATCATGAGGGTAGACGATTTTTTTTAACAGTAAAAGGCAAGCATTGACAAGATTTTTGGAGGAAAATATACTGTGTTGATTTTGACTTTGTACCTCTCCTGAAGTCTAGAGATGTGTTCCAGTGCAGTAGTGGCACTTGCTCTGTCCTTTTCCTAGTATCTTCTGGTTTTCAGATTTTATAGTTCCCATTAGAGCTCACTCTGGGTGCATTAAAGGATCACCGTTAGCTCTAACTTTATCACCAGGGAACGAAGACCCCCAGATCCCTTTGCCCATCTGTGCAGTGGTTGTGCACACCTAACCCCAGAGGCTGCTTGAGACTTCCCCATCTGGTGGCTGAAGCAAAGTTTTATGGAAGTGAGAAGACAGTTCAGGTATTAGTACATGTTTGTTTTTATAGTCCAGTACTAATACAGATTCAGAAATAGTCTTTTTAAAATGAAAACATTACTTTAGTTTTTGGGGGGCTAGCCAGATTTTTGGTAACTACCACTTTAGAACCATCAGTTGGAATTGTGTTCCGGATTCAAACCATGAATAAACCTTTTTAACAGGATTCGTATGCAAGTCAAGTTTAAGGACTACAGAGAATAATGCCCTTTCAATTATTTTTAAGTTTCTGGTACCCTTAAAATGTGCTGATTCCAAAATTATAAATATTACCTTCTCCCCCATAGCCTTTTTCTGTCCTTTTCCTTTCACTGGGACTTTAATGTATTTGGTATAGTAAATGGTATTCTGAGGCTCATAGTTTTCTTCATTCTTTTTTCTCTGAAATTGCACAATCCCAATGTACCTATCTCAACATTGCTAACTCATTCTTTTGTCTGTTTAGATCTGCTGCTAAGCCCCTTCTTCATTCCAATAATTGTACTTTTTTTTTTTTTTTTTTTGGTTTTTCGAAACAGGGTTTCTCTGTATTGTTTTGGAGGCTGTCCTGGAACTTGTTCTGTAGACTAGGCTGACCTCGAACTCACAGAGATCCACCTGCCTCTGCCTCCCGAGTGAGTGCTGGAATTAAAGCTGTGCGCCACCAACGCCCCGCCCCAATAAATGGTAATTTTCAACTGACGAATTCCCATTTGGTTCTTTTTAGTAAGTTTTTTATCTTGTGCTGTGGTTTAAGCCTAGGTTTTACTCATAGTTGGCAAGTGAGCTACACCTCTAGTACTATAATTTTTTTTTTGAGACAAGATCTTACTATGTAGGCCTGGCTGACCAGGTATTCTCCATGTAGACCAGGCTTTCCTTGAACTCATGGGGATCTGCCTGTCTCTGCCAGAGTACTGGGATTAAAGGCATACCCTACCACATCAAGCTAGCCCTATAACTTTTGTTAATTCTTTTGAGATAGTATCTCATGTATTTCAAGCTGACTTTGAATTCTCTATGTAGCAAGACTGGCTTTGAACTCCTTATTCTCCTGCCTCTACCTCCCAACTTCTGGGATTACAGGTGTGCCTGGCTTCAGTCCTTTAGTTTATATATCTTTATAATGCTCTCTGTTTGGACATTTTTCTCATATTTAAAATGTTTTTCTCTTCTTCTCCTTCCCTCTTCTCCGCCCAACCTCCTCTGCCCCTCCCACTTTTGAGATCCTTCTTAGTAAACATACCTCCTGGCTTCAAAATAATTCATTTGGGTGTTGAGTGTTGGAATACTCTAGTTCTTTCTTTGGACATGATTTTTGAAAACTTATTCAGCTAATTATAGCTAATTTAATGCCTCTACCTAGTCAGTTTAATACCTGAACTTCCTCAAAGATAGTTTTTACTGATTGTATATGCTCACTTTCTATGAGACAATGTTTATTATTTCATTTTTAAGTTATTAAATATGGCAGTTCTGAAATCTCTGCCCTCCAAGAATTTGTTGTTAATTTCTGTTTGTTTATCCATTTTGTGACTTAGTAACGTGGAATGTGTATTATGTTTCATGTGAGGTCACTGAGGTTCCTATTAAATTTTCTTAAGAAACCATCAGCGGGCCTGCTCGGGTGGGTGTCTCGAGCACGTGCTTTACCGCAATGCGCCCGTCCCGCTGACATGGACGGGACCTCCTCGCTCGGAGGGGTGGGGAGGGCTTCAGTGTCTAATACTGGGATTCTCACTGCCTTTGCTGAAAGGTTCTAAGTATGTTGGGCTGTACCTTGGCCATCGTTTCTTTCTTAGAGCCTCAAAGTGAGCTTAAGGTGAGAGTTCAGGCATTTACTTCCTGGAAGTGTCTCTTGAGCATTCCCACAGCCCAGAGCATGTAGGTGGTCATCCAGATTCCCAGGAGTATACCAGAACCTTCCAGAGTCCCCAACCCCCATAGGCAGCCCTTTGACCAACTTCTCCTTAAAATGTGTGTAGTCTTTTGTTTATTCTAAGTGCTGTCTACTGCCTAAGGCAGCTTTCACATTAACCAACTGCTTCTGATAATTTTCAGCAAACTTGGCTTGAGAACAGGGCTATTTGTCACTTAAAGCTAGTTCAAGTCAAAACAGTCTTTTGTTTGAGTCCCCCAAGGAGCTACCAGATACATAGTCCACTGATGACTGTTGTCTGGAAATGGGACCCTTGGAAGAATACTGCTCGCCCCCTCTTCCTTTTCAAGTGACTGCTTGGCTGGTTTTTGCTGTGACTTCAGGTTGTCATCAACTTGGCCAGCACCTGACAGCCCAGAAGCTTACTGTTCTTTTAAAGATCTACCTGGTTCTCTTAAGTCAGTGCCCGCCCTGATTCCTAGAAAGCTGATTAAGTCCCAGGATCTGAAGAGCTTTGTTAGATTGTAAACTCCGTTGCTGGCAGAGACTGGTTAGTGCTCTTTATCCCATCTCCTTTCTCTGGCATCCTTGATTTGTTGACTTCAGAACTAGGCATTGGCTGTAGTTTTTGTTTATTTAGTTATTTAGTTATTCCAGGGTTCGAAGAGACAATGTTTGAAGAGATGGCCTGGATTCTGTTGTCTCTGACATTTCTGGTCTTGAATATTGGATGCTGGTATTCCTATCTGTAGAGGAAGGGTATGGATGCATTTTGTCATCTGCAGTATAAGGAAGTGAGTGCTCTCCTGACTGTGGGAGTGCTCTGGTCCTTTGGGGAGAAAAGTACTTAGCTTCTGGAAGGCTTCATGCTTGCTACCTGTAGTTCTGCTTGGTATCATATACCCCTGTTTAAGTTGTTTTCTGCTTAGCTTTGTCTATCTTCTCTCCTTTTTCTCTACCCTTCAAAGACGAGGCTCAAGTTTCCTATAAGCATGCTAGTAAATTAAAATTATTTAAAATTCTTTAACAATGTTCAGGAAATTTTTATGTTAATTTGATTACAAATTAGGACTATTCTGTGCTTTAATAGCATTATGAAGGTGACCACTTGAAGTTTTTATTTTATACATAGCACTAGAAATAGAGTTGAACCCTTTCATTGTTTGTCCTCTCTATTTCCCTGGTTTGCTTTTTTTTTTCTTTTATTCTTTGGTCAAGTCCCTTATAGTAGTGTTAACTGAGCTCTGTATAGAGTGCTTTTAGAACTCACCACTTTTCAGGGAATGTCACTGGGGTGAAATATACATAACCTAAAATGTACTAATTTCATCTTATTTTAGCCATGCACTTCAGCTGGATGAAATGCATGCATTTCATTTTTCAGAAATGAATTCCATAGTTCTTTGGCAATAGTTGTTTTGTACAGTGACATTACAATAATAATCTGGACTGTAGTAGAGTTTGCCAATTCATTAAGTGAGATGACATGTTTTATTGGTGGTAGGTGTTGATTTCCATGGTTATACTTCCTTTACCGACTTTCCTTTCTACTTAGTTGTTCATATACAGTGTGTTTAACTCACACCTGTTTTTGCAGGATGCAGTGCAGGCAGGAGGAATTAACTCAGGAACAGCCATGTCAAGAGGATTGTATCAACCAGCAACAATCTTTATGGGCCGCCAGTTGTCAGCCATCTCAAGCATTGACGATTTCAGTACAGAGCAGAAATCTAAGCAACCCACAAAGAACTGTTCAATTCCTGACCTACATTCACACCAGCAGACATCCCAGAGCAGCCGTGTGACAGACAGCTGTATAGTACAAACTAACAGTGACACACAGTGCTTAAATAAGTCTGACAAAATAGATGGAAAGACATCTCTTCATATTGGTGAGAAAACACCCGTCACAAGCCATGCTTTGTCTGAGGAAGAACAAACTCATTGCTTGGAGATAGGGAGCAGCACACGTCACAGCAAGAGTAATTTATCTGAAGGCAGGAAGTTTGCTGAACTCCATTCCTCGTTACAGGAAAGATTAAGTCCAGAGAACAGAACCACTGATGTAAAGTGTGACAGTTCCAGCAGATCAGAGGGATCAGGCGGAGAAATACTGACACAAGAACATATTGAAGTCAGGGAAGAAAGAGCTAGCCTGCCGGTCCCCACGCTATCAGTTTCAGAACACCGTACATCTGCAAATAAGTGGGTTGGAGAGAAGCATTCTGCTTGGGAAGGTTTCTCAGGTGAGATGAGAGACCAAGTTTGTTTGCTGAATTTCTTAGTGCCTAGCTTTTCTGGTTGTGATCTATAATTTTATCTCTTTGTCTAAAAACAAAGAGATAATGATTTCTTCAACATGTGCAAGGAAATGTTTCAAAAGATGAATCTATTGATTTTTAAGGCCATATGTTTAAAAGTATTTAAAATACTTTTGAGGGCTCAAAGGTAGATGTGTACTTATCATATAGGAGGCTCTGGGTTTGATCCTCAGCATGACTAAGTTTTTACATTTTTACAAAAAAATAAATTTTTGAAAGATTTCAGTACTGTAATTGTAATTGTTTCTATGCTTTTAATACATTTGCATGTGTGCATATGAGTATATTTGTCTTGGAGGATACATGTGTGTATATATGGAGGGAAGCCAGAGGACAAGTGTAGGTATCAACTTAAGAAAGGCTGCCTACTTTCTTTGAGATGAGGCTTGTCATTGGCCTGGATTTCTCCAGTTTGTCTGACTAACCAGCCAGTGAAGCACAAGAATGCCCTGTCCCTGCCTCCCCATCACTGGGATTATAAGCACACCACTCCAGCCTGCGTCTGTATCTGCATGCAGGGCATTGAACTCATGTCTTCATGCTTCTGAGGCACGTACTTCATTGACTGAGCTATCTTCCAGACTTGTGCTTCTACATGTTTGTGGCTTTTGTTGTTGTCTCTTGTTTTTCTTTTGAAACAGTCTCACTGTGAGGCTTGGTAGGCGTGGAATTCTCTGTGTAGATTAAGTTGACCTTGAACTCATAGAGATAGATCCTCCTGCCTCTGCTGAGATTACAGGCATGCATCACCATACCAGGAGGCTTCTATCCATTTTTTAAGTAATGAAATTTTATTCTGTGTTATTTGGATTCTAGAACTTTGTAATCAGCAGTGCATTCATTTTCCCTCTTGCAGATGATCTTGTTCATGGGGACCCAAAGTCACCAAAGGCCTTCCTAAAAATGCAGGAAGAGCAGGAGGAGGAAAGTTTGTGCAGCAGCAGTGACCTCACAGTTTCTGTAAGTGAAGAGAAATTGATTTTGGAGAATCTGGAGTCACTACCAAGTCCAGGAACCAAGCCAGAAGGTGAAGATGGAAAGCAGACCGCACGGTCAGTCTACACCGCACTGCAAAGAGATCCACTCTTCACTGATTACAGTTTGCAGGCCCAAAGCTTTCCTGATTCAAAAAGGGAATCCTCCCCAGACTCACCAAGACAGTAAGCCAATCGTTTTCACAATAATTTTGCTTTCAGTTGTTCATGGTTTTTAGAGTCTATTCCACTTGGAAAATATTATTGAGCAACCCCAGAAATGATTGTGTAAGCTGCCTAATCTAATAAGTAGGCTTTTAGGTAAATTCTCACCTGCTTTCTTTCCTTCTTTCTTTCCTTCCTTTTTGTAAATTTTAAGGTAACTTTTGAAAATCTGAGTGTCATTGAGCTATAGTGATTGCCAGTTCAGAGTTACACCCAGGCAATCCCTGATAAATTTGCAAGTCACTCAACTCAACCCCTACCCTTACTTTTTTCAGCCCCCTACCATTATCCTTTTTAAAAATGACTTTGAAATTTTGCCCCCACAAAAGAGAGAAGTAGCTAAATTTACCAAGAAGTCCACTTTGGGAACTCAGAGCTTTGTATATAATAAGCACACACTTATGCTTGTATTGTTTTCCATGGTGTCATTTTTTGTCTCATGCTATTAAATGAGCTCATACTTCTTACATCTCTAAGCAAGACTTCCTTTTCCGGATGTAAATTTGAGAACACTGGAATCCCTGGTGTTTAATAGAGCATCTGTGTGGTACATTTTAGTACTTACCAATGTCCATCTCATAAAAGCAAAGTATGTATTTTTACAATTGATTGGAAATTTGGGGCCAAATAGAAGTTTTTGTCCCCTGAATAGAAAACTTACTAGGTATTGAAAACAAATTCTGTGATTAAGCAAACCAACCAATCAAATCATACTGATAACAAACATCAAATCTCTTCTAGGGGGAGAAGAAGCCTAAGTAAATAAGGTAGGTCTTACTTTTATAAGTGAATAAACTTAAGACTAAGAGCACAATGGTGTCACATAGACGTATGGAACATTGTGCATGCACGGGCATATGCAAACACACACACATACACAACACACACACACAGAGCTCTTGCACCCCTAACTCCTGCCCCCTCCCAAACTTTCAGTTGTACCACCATGCTGGCAGCCCTCATTCCAGCAGTGTAGGGCAGTGAATGTTAAAGTGGGTGGTGTGCACATGTACACAGGTGCAGAGTACATGCCCTGTGCACAGAAGTGGCTGATTGCTATCATTGGAAATTGGATGCCTGGAGGATTTTTCTGTTATCATGCTTCACTCATGAAAGAGTTGCAGGTGTTCTGTCATACAGAAACTTTATGACTAGAGGTGGAATGTGCCTGTTTTGTGTTTATAGATGTACTGGCTAGTTTAGTCAACTTGACACAAGCTAGAGTCATCTGAGGAAGGATCCTCAGTTGAGGATTTGCCTCCAATGGGATCCAGCCATAAGGCATTTTCTCAATTAGGGATCAATGGGAGAGGGCCCAGCCCATGGTAGTTGGTATCATCGCTAGGCTCCTGGTCATGAGAAGCAAGCCAGTAAGTAGCTCCCCTCCATGGCCTCTGCATCAGCTCCTGCCTCTGGGTTCCTACCCTGTTTGAGTTTCTGTCCTGACTTCCTTCAGTGATAAACAGCAATGCTGAAGTATAAGTCAAATAAACCCTTTCCTCCCCAACTTGCTTTTTGGTCATGGTGTTTGGTCGCAGTAATAAAAACCCTAAGACAGTAGCCTGAGCTTTATGGCAATCTGCTGAACAAGGTGGTACCTCTGTAGGCTAAGAACAAGTATATTTACCCAGGACTTGGTGGTTTTCTGAGGTGAAATCTCTTGCATGAATGACTTTTTCCTAGAACTCTACATCTAAGTGTCTTTGAATTTTCAAATATGGTTTTCAACTATTCATTGGGAAATACGGCATTTAGTAAAATTCTCAGTATTCATGCTGATAACCTCTCTTCCTCAAAATGAAGAGGTCAGTCAGCAATGGTTGTTTGCTGTCTGTGCTGTTAAATTTGAGACTATTGATTTTCTGTGGTGGAAGCACTCTCTAGAAATTAGGTTAAAGGGGCTTTCTTTTCATTACACTTATTTATTTACTGTGCACCTGGAGATTTGTTATGGTGAAAATGTAGAGGTCAAAGGGTGTTGAGTGAAGTTTTCCCACCAGCCTGGCTCCAGAGCCGCATCAGTCCCAAATAAACACACAGGACGCTATATTAATTATAAGCTATTGGCCGTTTGCTTGTTTCTTACTGGCTATTTAACCCATCTTTGCTAATCTAAGTATTTCTCTTACTGGAGAAAAGGGTCCAGACCTCTTATTCCTATGATGGCTACATCATGACTGCCTATGTCTCTCTTTCCCAGAATCCTCCTCAACTCCTAGTCCCACCTATCTTGCTTCCCTATTGGCCAACATTTTTTATTGACATATACACAGCACTTCCCCATCAAAAGGGCAACTTGTCAAAGTCAGTTCTTTCCTTCTGTCATGTGGGTCCTAGGGATGAACTTAGGTTGTCAGGTTTAGCTGCAAGCACCCTTACCCACTGATCTTGGTGTCCTCATTTTCATACCTTTAATAAAAATATAGATTTATAAATATACAGTTCACATGCTAGTCAAGTCTCCTGTTTAGAGTACATAGTTGAATGGATTTGAGTTTATCAGACTATTAATTTTAAATCCTGTAATAAATATATAGCATGAAATTTGCCATTGTAAAATACACAATTTAATGACACTAATTACATTCACAATATATAATTAAAATTCATACTTTAAATAATTCTTAAAAGTAGAGTCATACATGTCCCTTTTGTATCTAGCTAATTTCAGTTAAGCATATGGCTTTGAGGTTCATCCATGTTATATCATGTATCAAAATCTCATTTTTTATGGTTGAATAGCATTTATGTACATGGATATAGCACAAATCATTTGCACATTTACCTGTTAATGATACTTGGGTTGGTAATCGAGAATCTGGAGAGATAACTCAGTGGTTAAGAGACACAGTGCTCTTGCAGAGGACCTGAGTTCAGTTTCAGCCCCCATTTTGGGCAGCTCACAACCACCTGTGACTTATGCTCCAGGGCATCCAATATCCTCTTCTGATCTCTGAAGGCACAAACCCACATACAGACACACATATACACATAAGTAGAAAAATACAGTCTTGCTGGGTATGGTGGTATACACCTTTAAATCTTACACTCTGAAGACCGGGACAGGTAGTTCTCTAAGTTACAGGCCATCCTGTTCTACTTAGCGAATTCTAGAAGTAGGAGCTACATAGTGAAGCCCTGTCTTACAAATAAATAATAAACAAATCTCTCTCTCTCTCTCTCTCTCTCTCTCTCTCTCTCTCTCTCTCTCTCTCTCTCTCTCTCTCTCTCTCTAAGCCAAGTGTTTGTGTAACTTTCCAGACCCACTCTCATAAATGCTTTCAGATACTGAAAACCAGTTTATACAATTTCTCCATTGTAAGTATAATGAACTCTTCTTATAAGCCGGGCATTGGTGGCACACGCCTTTAATCCCAGTACTCGGGAGGCAGAGGCAGGTGGATCTCTGTGAGTTCGAGGCCAGTCTGGTCTACAAAGCAAGTTCCATGACAGCCTCCGAGACAATGCAGAGAAACCTTGTCTCAAAAAACCAAAAAAAAAAAAAAAAAAAAAAAAAAGAAAGAAAAAAATATGCCAAGGACTAGACAGATAGCTCAGCATTTAAAGGCACTTGCTACATAAACCTGACAATCAAAGTTCAATCCTTGAAACCCACATAAAGATGGAAGGAGAGAATCAGCTCCACAAAGTTATCCTTTTGCACTCTGTATGCTTACATGTATAAACATACACACACAGACTAAACAATTTTTAAAATACAAAATGTATGCTAAAATGAAAAACTAAAATCCTTACTAAAATGAAACAGTAAAATAAATGTTACTAAAATGGTGATTTTGAATATCCTTATTTTAAAGAATAAATAAATTGAAATACAAGTTGGCACCCAGCCTCATAGTTTGAAGCACTCACTACCTTTGTTATTTTCCATGTGACAGGTGGTGGTCCACTGTCACTTGGGAACCATATGAGTGGCTTGGCCTCATGTCTGTTATCATTTGGAAGGTCAGTATGGCCTGTCACTAGTGGTGACAGGGCCTCAAGCATGAAGGCAAGCCCTGTTTCCCTAGTGCTTGCTTTGGCCTTATTCTGTGGTATTGGGATAGAGTCCTGGCCTCCTCGTGCTAGACAAATGCTCTGCCACAGAGCTGCACTCAGCCCTGCACAAGTGCTGTGCAGGTGTCTTCTTGATCATGTTTGCTGACATTCCATTGGATAAAGAGAGTCACAGGGCCCAGCCCATCTCTTAGGCACTCCAAGTTGCATTGCAAAGAGGTGTACTCTAGTATTTCAGGAGAAATTCAGATGAAGAAAAATTTGACATAAGTCCAAAGAGTCAGAAAGGTTTTGTTGGAGGCTCAGTGCAGCTTCTTGAAGTCTGGATAGCCTTTAAGTTAGGAGAGAAAGGCAAACTAGGTTGGGAGGAAGCAGGTATGCAGATACAAAGGACACTGAAGGTTGGGATAAGTCCCACCCCTTACCCATCAAGGAGGGATTTGGGAGTTAAGAGTTCCAGTGTCTACTAGGGCAAGTGGAGAAGGACCTTGCATAATAATGAATTTGGAGTTCATTTTCTGTGTCTTGTGGGACCGTTGAGGATTGTTTTAAGAGAAGGGCAGTGCAAGGAGTGGCCTCTTTATAAGGATTAATGTAGCAGCATTGACTTCCTCAGGATTCATTCTCCATGTGGTAGGCAGAATTCTGAGATGGATCCAAGATTACTGTCCTCTGCTACACATCCTATTTCATTCATGTGACTATTCTATATTATATGGCACATAAAGGCTTCTGCAGATGCCATGATGTCCTGAATCAAGATTATCCAGTGGGCCAGACCTAATCAGATGAGGCTTTGAAAGAGCTTGGGCCCTTACTGAGATTAGAAGGATTCTGAACAGATGAGATAGACTCAAAGACATAAAATGCCATCTTGTGGCAAGGAATATTTTTTTATACTCTCCAGGGACCAAGCATTTCAGTTCTCCGGGCTGCTGAGATTT